GACTAAGTATAAATATATCCATGCGGCTTTTAAAACTATTAACATCACTCACAAAAAACCATAAGTAGCCCTCGCCTATGATGTTTAGTAAAGCAACGTGAATTACCTCTAATGTTCAAATATCTTTCCAACCAAATAATTTAAAACCAAAGGAATAACTGTATTAATATATTCCATAGATACACTGTTGCTGCCAGTTGTAAGAAGGTATACAGTTTCAGTAATGACAGTATTAAGGGTTACAATCCCACACATATGAGAAATTGATTCCACAGTCTTATCCACAGATCATTCAACATCTTAAAAAACATCAATTACCTACAGAAAAATATATGGGCTTGTCTGCATATGTATAACTTTTGGTAAGACAGACAGTGTATTAAGCCAATAAATTCATCTACTGAATGTCTTCAGCTTAAGAAAAGTAAAATTTTAGCAAGATTTTTCAATAGGTCATAGGAGGTTTATGGTATATTTTCTTCCTATTTCTTTCTCCCCACCTCTTCTCCACCCTTGCACCTCAATCCACTACCATCACCACCACCCCACACAAGTTCTATTTAAAAAGCTACCAACAACACAGCACGGTGAAATGGAGCCATATCGAAAAAGGTTAGCATTACCTTCCTGCCCACTCACTTACTTTAATGATTCATCAGGGAAAGCCCAGTTGAGATATACCTGAACCACTGAATACCACTAGAAATTCCTAAGTTTTATTTAAACGTTAAAAATAAGGGTTGAAAACATTGCTAGTTTGAGCTAGAGACCAAACTTAGGGTCACCACTGCCTCTTCCTTAAATTGTCACATACCTCTACCTCTTAGAATTCCTTCTTTCCTTTAAAAATCAGTCTAGGTACCACCTTCTACATAAAGCTTTTCCTGAATTCCCTTCTCCCCCCTCAATTTCATCACTAGTGCCATCCTCCCTCCTAAAACTATCTTGTTTTGTTGTTTATATTCCTATGTATGTACATACTGTCTCCATTACAGACTGTGAGCTGAAGCCATGGGTATTTTTGTCTATGTATCTTCAGCACCTAAAACAGAGCCCAGCAAACAACAGGAATATCATAAATGTTTGTTAATGAATATTTGGAGAAAAATACACCTAGAGCATATATTCTGCTTAAACAAATACATTTTTTCAAAGCAATACACTCACTTTAGCCTTTAATTTTTTCATGCCAAACATAGAATGTAGAGTTCAAGGAGGGGGGAAGGGAAGAGTAGAATGTTTTTAGGTAAACTGCAGACATATAGAAAAATCCATCTAAACTCATTCAGTCTCAATCTAACATTTAATGATTTAACTTTACAGCTCAGCAATTACAGGACTGTAGTAGTAACAATGTACACACTGATATAAAGCTTTCTTAATAATGTAAATGAAGCAGTTATCTAATCTTGGTTATTGTTTTAAATTGAATATGTACCAGTTCTGGATAACCTGGTTTCAAACTCTGATTCTGATGTTTACTATGTGACTTTGAGCAAGTAACTTCCCCTTGTGAACCTCAGTTTCCTCATGTATAAGATGACAAAGGTTGGACTAGAGAGATTCTGAGGTTTCTTCTAGCTCTAAATCTATGGGCCAAAATAAAGTGGCATGTCATTAGTTGACCCAAGATTGCTTAAATATTTAATTGCTTGTGAGAGCATATATCACCACACAGTCGGTATCTTGGAAAAAAATAACCTTAATTTCTTATTTAAGAGATTCAGCAGCCTTACTCTGATGACCTACAACCTGGTTTCTCTACCTGAAAGCTGGTTGTATGTTAATGTGAAGTCTACTTTCTTCGATTCTGACTCGAGTTTCCTGTTGCGGTGACTAAGAACTGAAGATTCAAATTGCACACTGAGTTTGGTTAGACAAATTCAATACCCTTTGGCAGGCTAATTAAAATATTTTGCAAATAAGCTTTTCCTAATTCCTATTTTGCTTTGCTTTTTTAAAATCACATTTTATCACTTACTGAATTAAATATTCATGTGTCTGTTTTAACTTCTCCCAGCAATCTCTGATCAATCTATCAGGACTTGTTTATTTGAGACAACTTTTGCTTTAAAGGGTGCAGTTATTTATGTATGCCATAGCACTGTCTTAATAGGACACTAAGGCTGCACTGTCAGCTATCACCATAACATCATTCACTTTTTACTTTCAAAAATGATTACTAATTCCTCATAAAATTATAAAAAGATACACCCCACATAATCATGTAATCTACACGACCAGTCAATCAATCAACAATAATCCATATATTAAACATCACTATGTACCAGACACTGCTGAACACTTGGAATACAAAGGCAAAAAACATAAAAAATACTCCCTGCCTTCACGGGGTTTACATATGGTAAGAGGAAACAATCAGTAAATAAATAGGTCACACAAGATCCATATAGCATAGACAGAAGCTAACCTTGGGGGGAAGGGCTCTAAAGGTCTGGGGGAAAAGAAGGTCTCCACCAGAAGCTGGTATTTGAGCTGAATTTTAGGAGAAGCACCCAGGGATGTCAAGAGGCAGAAGTATGGAGTGGAAAGTATCCCAGGCCTGGGGGGCAGCCAGTGAGAAGTGAAAATAACTATCAATGTTTAAAAAAAAAAGATTACGGACAAAGTAGTGTGGTAGGAAAACAACTGGATTAGAACCAGAAGAACCAGAAGAACCAGAACTACTTAATATCAATTCACCTAACCATTCCATGCTAAAATGTACTAATACATAAATTGGAGACAACAGTATTCTTATCACTGACCTCAAAAAGCTGCTGTGGGGATTAAACAAGAGAACTGAAAGGCTTTTTTAAACCTTAAAGGTATATAAGTGTGGGTTACTAATTAAGCTACCATTCAGTTCATTTTATGGGTTTCATTTCTGATTCTGGGAAACAAATATCTTTATTACACTTAATTCCTTTTTTAGCACAGTCATCATTTTGCTAATTTTATTAGTAATCTAAAACTACAAAAGAAGTAATGAAACCATTTTATTTAGTGCTGAAAAGCGCTTCAAAATGATTAACATTCTACAATGTTTTAAGCATATTTATTATTATTATATCATGTTCTATTAAAGCAATGAAAAACCAAGTAGTATCAAATTGAAATGAGAAAAATCAGGAAAAAAAAATATGAATCTGTTCTAACTAAAAGTAAGTGCCCATTCATATTGGGTAGAGGTGGACCCAAACACATTTTCTATGTTCTATTTCTCTTTCCTCTTTCTCCTTTTGACTGGTGTACACAAAAACCAAGAGTTTGTGGGAAATGTTGCATTTATTTTCCGCACTGAGAAATATTATCTTAATCTACTGATATGAGAATCAACAGAAAAAGTAAAGACTGCAAGTTGCACTAGAAAATATAGTTGGACTGGTAGAGGTTTACCAGCCAGAGGGACTAATGACTTGAAAATCACCTGCAAAGTCTTTAAAAGATGGAAAAGTTCCAAAGGTCAATCTAATCCAAACCCCTCAGCACACAAATGAAGAAACTGTAAGCCCAGAGAGGTTACGTAATTTGTCTACGGTTATGGTGGGAGTAAATGGCATAGCCAGGTTGCACTATCTAGAAAATAAACTACGGGACTGAGTTCAGAAGAAAACTGTCACCACTGTCACCAATCAATGCATATAGCTAAGTGACTTCAGACAGTGTTAGACTTGGAGTCAGAAAGACCAGAGTTCAAATTCTGCTTAGATACTTCCGAGTTATGTGTCCCTGAGATAATCACTTAATCACTCTCAGCCTGCTTCCTTACCTGTGAAATGGAGACAATACTATTATTAGTATACTATTGATAGGATACTATCAATACTATTATTGACCTCACAAGACTGTGAGGAATAAAAGAGGTAACATATACAAATTGCTTTATAAGCCTTTAATCATTATATAAATGCTAGTTATTATTATGGATGGGCATTAAGTTGGATTTTATGTTTCCCCTCTGTTCCTGTTCCTTTTCTTAAATAAAGGAACTGGAACTTAATATATAACATCAGTCCCAGACACTCGATTGTATATAAAGGTATCCAAAAGGCAACTGGTACTGTAGGACTGGAATTCATGAGAGTCTGGAACTGGATGCATAAACTTGGAAGTCATCTGCACTGAATTGAAAACAGATGAAATCACCAAGGATGAGAATGTAGAGAGAGAACAGGAGTGGACTTGGGACTGATCCTTAGGGGACACTCATGCTTTGGGAGGTCAAGGGTGGGGAGCAAATAGGAGATGGATGATACTCCAAAGAAGCCTAAGAAAGAAAAGTCATTCTGCTAAGAAGAAACCCAAAAGAAAGCAGTGTCATGGAAGCTGAAGAGACAGTATTAGGAGTCAGGGTGTCAATGGTATCAAACGCAGCAGAGAGATGAGAGAGGATGGAGGATTTAGAAAAGGGGATCAGATCTGGCAGGTCACAGATCACTGGTAACCTCTGAGTGTCACAGTAGAGAGAGGAGATAAGAAGCCTGACTGAGATTTGCTTGACATTCCACCTGGAAGTCCTGCCAACACTCTGAATAGAACATATCCAAAACTGAACTTGTCTTTTTCCCAAAAATAGGAACATTTTTTTTACTGGCTGTGGAGGAAGAAACAGCAAAGTGCGACAAGTGACTGGATATGTGAGGTGAGGCAGAGTAAAAGATAATACTAAGATTGTGAACCTCGGAGAATGTTAGTAACAGTAGTATCTTCAACACAAAAAGAATGAGTTTGGAGAAAACGATAATGAGTTTTGTTTTGAAAGTGTTGAGCTCTGGAACACTGAGGTTAAAATGTCAAACTGGCAAATGGTGATATGGGAAAGAATCTCAGAAGAGAGGCTGGGATTGGATATATAGACATGGGAGTCATCTGTAAAGAAGTTAAAATTAAACCCATGGCAGCTGATAAGGCCAGAGAGAGAGAGAGAGAGAGAGAGAGAGAGAGAGAGAGAGAGAGACAGTAACAGAGATAAAGAGAAAGATAAAGAGACAGAGAAAGACACAAAGAAAGACACACAGAAAGACAGAGTGTACATTTATAGAGGGAGAGAAGAGGGCTCAGAACAGAGTCTTCACAAACATCCATAACTATGAAACATGACACAAAGGATGAAGAAGTAAAGGAAACTGAGAATGAATGCTTAAACAGCCAGAAGGAGAGCTGGTAGAGAGAACAGTGTTGCAAAAACCCAGAGAAGAAGTGTCCAGGAATAAAATACGGTCAACAGAGTCAAAGGCAGTATGTAAGTAGAAATGGATGAGGACTGTGAAAAGCCCATCAGATCTTTCTATTAAAAGATTGTTGGTAACTTTGTAAAAAGTAGTTTCAGTTGGGGTCAGAAGTCCAGATTACAAAGGAATGAGAAGTGAGTGACCAAAAAGGAAGTAGAGGCAGAGTATAGATTACTTTTTATAGGAATTCGGCTGAGAAAGGGAGGATGATAGCTTGAGGGGACAACAAAGTCTAGTGAGGCTTTTTTTTTAAGGACAGAGAAGACCTGAGCATGTTCAAAAGCAGTAGTGAAGGAAACAAGAAATAGGGAGAAGCTAAAAGTTAAACAGATAGACAGAGAGATAGAGAGACAAATAGAGAGATGGAGAAACAGAGATAATAGAGAATGGTATCTGTTAGAGAAGTCAGGAGAGGATAAGATAAAGGGCCACCCTTGGCAAAAATGAGAGCTCCCTCACTGTCAGAGATTAGATGGAAAGAGGAGAAAGGAGGGAGGTGATATCAATGGGTTTTGAAATGAAGATGAGAGAAGTGACACTGAACGACCTTAATTTTCTTAATAAGACAAGAAGTGAGGTCCTCAGTTGAGAGAAGAGGGAAGGCAAGCTCTGAGAGGCTTGAAAAGAGAAAGGAAGGTTTGGAATAGCCTCTCTGGGCAGTGAGATAGGGAAACAAGAAGAAATAAAAGAACTGCTATTCTGTAATGAGAGCTCAGCTTTCTATTCTCGTCTCCTATTTGAAGTTAAGCTCCCAAGCAAATATTCCTTTGGTATTCCAAGTGGTATTCCCTTGATGAGTTTAAGAGGTCTACATAACTAGATTTGCTGTTTCCACTTAGGTTACAAACAGAAAAAAAAAATTAACTATTTAAGTGAGCTTTATACCGGGGGGAGTATAACCAAGAGTATAACACTTAAGGGATCAGGAAGAAAAAGTGTAAATAAGGTACATAGCTAGAGAAGATAGAGGCATTTCCCTATAGTACCAAAAAGGACTGAAGTTAGATTTCGAGATACTAACCACAGACAAATACGATGTATATTTCATAATATCTACATGATATATTTTAGAAAAATCAACCACACAGTTAAAAGAGTTTTTCAACTGCTTGAGTGCTTGTAACACTGGAATATGGTCTTTAAAATACAAATTTAAATTTTTACTTTGTTCATTTTTAAAATGTTTTAATTGGAAATTTCTCCACATAAAAGAATTATTCAAAATTTTTAAAAAGGAACTATAAGCATAACTACTACAGGTTGTTTCTGTTTCTGGTTTTTTTTTTTAAATGACAACTATTCTGGTTGGCATGTGTCTTTCAAGATTGTTATAATGTTACTGTCTGGGGAAGATTACTTCTCAGAGGTTAGGGAGCTCAGGGCACTCAAAATTGAATGCTAAGTTTAAAAAGCTCAGACGCTCAACTTAGACTAAAATCAACTGGATATGGGACTAATAGTTGGGGTAAGGAGAGATGTATCACTATTTTTAAGCATGACAAGGGGCATATTATTAGCTACCTCTCTATTACAAGAAAAAGAGTCAATCCGGTAATAATAGCCTGGCATTTTTAAATCCTTCAGCTATTTAGGAGTCAAACTCGTAAGTGAAGAAAAGAGATTCATAGACAACTGTCTACGCTTTCTGGAGGGTCTGATGTTCACCACAATTTATGCAAAGGAAACACAGGCTTGTCTAGTCTGACGTGGCATGCACCTGTCCCAAGTAAAAAGACAGCTAGAAATATCTCGAGGTTTCTTGATTGGAGCAAGAACTATGACTTGCATCTATTTAGTGGCCTTGTCTGTCACCATTAAGTTATCTCTTTATCAACTGGTTTTCCATGGAGACATTCCATCGATATAATATTTTGTGTAATGCTAGAGAGATCTTAGAGCACACAGTCATTCCTCGTGAACTGCCAAAGCCAAAGCTCAAACTTGGGCATCTTCATTATCTCTATGCCATGTAATTTGGAAACTTTGCAAATAATCTGTTTGAACAGAGCAAGGGGGCCCAGGAGTTAATTAATTTCCTATTTTTCTTCTAATCAGTGGATATATGCAGTATATCTGGGATCTTGAGCCCCTTTGCTGGAATAATTAATAGTCTTAGTTAATAAACAGTCTGACTCATTTTAAAGAGAGAATATAACTTAGAATCCTTCCCAGGTGGGATATAGTTCATGGTTTCCTTAAGGACTTGACTTCAATTACAACTAAATCAGTAAGGATGGTGGATCATTCTTACTGTCACTGGAAAATCTTGATTTCTCTACTGAAGGGCTAAATTGATGACCAAAGACCATCCCAATGGATAATAATAACAAGTATAGTTTTGTGAAAATGCTCAAAGTCAACTCTTTCACACCAATACATCTAAAGCATATTCAATTCTAAAGAATAATCACAGGAATTTATCTAAGCCAACCAATCTTTCTCCAACTATATAGAATGAACTGCCAAATTCTGGTTTGGCTTGAGGATCTAAAGTTTATTAAATTAAAGCATTAATAATGTGGGCATAACATTCATATGAGTCAGAGAAGCTGGACTCAACGTTACTGCAGTCTGTGTGAGGAAGTAAAAAAAGCATTTTTAATCTGTAATATTAGCTATTAAACAGCATTTGAATGGGGTTGTGAGTGAAAATATCTTTTCGATTCTTCTGTTTGTGTAACTCCTGTCCTTTCACAAGGGAGAGGACTGAACCAATTATTCAGATTCTGACTAAGCCTCTGAAAATAGAAATCCATTATATAACACCTGTGACTCCAAAGCTCAGTCAGCAATGCTAATAATTACTTTGTAAGAACCACCCTGAAAGATTCCTGAAAATTCATAATTGCCTAGATTTTCTTACTGGTGATTTAAAGGTATTCTAACGTGACAGGTCTCTTCCTTAAGTTTCAAACAATACTTGCTCTTAAGGAAAAATGTGTGGATCTGATTTTAAAAACAATGCAGCCCTTTTCTTCTGGATTCCTCTTCTTTGTTATTTCCTTCTAGATAGATATTTACCATTGAGGTCCAAAGACCATAGCTTTGCCTAACTTCTATCACACATTAATGTACCCTAAGTGATTAAAATGTTAACTAATTACCTACATATTTTCTCAAATTGGCTTAGAAATGCAGTCATTTCCTTAAACTCTAAGGATGAAAACTTAATAAAGTTTATATAAATCAAGTGTCAAGCTTTACCTAAATTTTTATGTTGAACTTTTTAAAAGAATGCCTTCAAGAAAAGAGATTATCTTCTGTCCTCATTCAAATGTACCAAAAAGTAGAACACCTGACTGGTCTAACGAATATGAGAAGTCTCAAAGAGACAAACATTCATAAAAAGTGAAAAAGCGTAATAGGAGGAAATCCTAGATTCCTTCTCTATAGAGCAATTCGTTGAAAACTCAGAGGAGTGAATGGCAACAAGGAAGAATTCATCTACAGAAGTGGAGAAGGGAGAAGGATAAAAAGACAAAAGCAATTGCATAATTGTGACATTATTAGAAGTTTGTGGTAGGGATCCCACCGCTAGCCACATACCAACAAGGAAGTAAAGACCAATACACCAAGACAGTTGTAGCAACCTTGTGTGGCGGCAGCAAGGAGTGAAAATAAGGCAGATGCCTGTTGATTCGGTGTGGCTAATAAATGGGAACTGGTATGTTAAATAATGAAATCTTATTTCTGCAGTATAAGAAATACTGGATATGAGAAATTTAAGAATACACTAAAGGTCTTATATGAACTCGTATAGATGAAGTAAGTAGAGTCCAGAGACCAACATACCCTATGACTACAAAAAGTTAATATAAAGAACAAAATGAAACAAAACTAAAGCAGTTTGTAATAACCAAGCTTGGATCTGAAAAGGAGATGGGAAAATGCACCACCTTGCATTCTTTGCAGAGAACTCTAGGTAAAGAAATACCAAATATACTTTCAGGTGTGGTGGTTTTGCTGGCTAGTTTTACAAAAACTTTCTCCTTTCTCTTTTTTTAATCTGTTTTAGAGGATGACTTTCCCTGGGTAGGACAGGGGAAGAAATATGTTTCAAAATGAAGGTAATATAAAAAACAAAAAGTAGAAATAAAAGTAAGATTTCTAAAAGAAACTTTATGGAAAGTTAGAGAAAGTCATAGAATATAAAAAGCTTCAAAACAGGAATTGAAGGGTAGACCTTACAAAAATTCCTGTGTCAATCAAGATTTCTTTTATGACCATGGTATTATTTCTTGGCACTTAGTAACTTGAACAGCCAAACTAGAACCATTCTTCTTTTTGGATGAGGCACAAGAAAGAAAGAAAGAGAGAGAGAAAGAGAGAAAAAAGAAAGAAAGAAAGAAAGAAAGAAAGAAAGAAAGAAAGAAAGAAAGAAAGAAAGAAAGAAAGAAAGAAGAGGAGAGAGAGAGAGAGAGAGAGAAAGAGAGAAAGAGAGAAAGAGAGAAAGACAGACAGACAAAAAAACACCTTTGCTCAATATCGAATTGACAGATATTTTCTTTGTTTTGAGTGCAACACGCAGTATTCATTCAATCAATCAATAAACAAGCATTTATTAAGTATCTGGTGTATGCTGAGCACTGGGCTTACTGACTTCTTAACCCATACAAAAGCAAAGAGTCAAGATACAGGATGTCATGCATTAAGGGTAGCAAGAAGCAGGTTGATTTAGCTGGAGCAAAGAGTGTGTGATGGGAGATAATGTAAAACTCATCTGAAAAATGAGGGTGGGATTAGATTATGAAGGGATTTAAATGCCAGAAGAGTTGGTGTTTTACCCTAAAGACAAAGCGGATTCCATCTTTTATGTGGAATATAATTTATACTCTATATCTACAACCCACTAAAAATTTTGGGCAGTTATTTCAACTTGTATACTAGACACTTTACTTATTCTACAAAAAGACCCAGTAAAAATCATTTAATAATGAATGGCTATACTAGCTCAAATGAAAACAAAAACATAGCCAAACAGAGCAAAGAAAAAAGTCAGAAGGAAGAAGAA